CCAACTACTCTGCTGAAACAGTTCACCTTGAGATCACCAATGACTTCCTGATCCCCACATTCAATGGCCATTTTTAAGACTTTTTCATCCCTCTACAGCATTGACCATTCTCTCTTTCTCCACTTTCTACCTTGACATTCATGACCATACATTTCCATGGTTTCCATCCTACCTCTCTGGCCTTTCCCTTTCCATTTCCTTTGTCAATTTCTCTTCTTCCTCCTTTTCTTATTCACATCTCTTTTTCTTTCTTTTTTTTTTTCAGGCAATTAGGGTTAAGTGACTTGCCCAGGGTCACACAGCTAGTACGTGTCAGGTGTTTGGTCTGAGGTCAGATTTGAACTCAGGTCCTCTTGACTTCAGGGCCAGTGCTTTATCCACTGCACCACCTAGCTGCCCCCACATCTCTTAAACACGGCATTCCCCTGGCTTCTGTTTTTAGCCTTCTCTCCTCCTCCCACATACTCTCTCTGCCTTAATAATTTTAGCCACACCCACAACTTCAACTATTATCACTATTTAGATAACTCTCAATCCCTTTGTCTGACCCTAATTTCTTTTCCAAATGCTACATTAAATTTCTAATTGCCTTCTGGACATTTCCATATGGATGATTGCCAACATCTCAAATTTAATATCTCTAAAATTGAAGACTCACCCTTTTCCCTGGAAAGTCTACTCTTCTTTCTAACATGCCTGTTTTTATTAATGGCACCCCATACTCTCAATAACCATACTAAAAACTTCAGACTGAAAAGCTTTCATCTCTTCCATAAGCCACCTCCATCAAATCAGTTATTGAATCATGCTACTACTACCTTCATATCTCTCACATTCATCCTTTTCTTTCAATTCCCCCCTGCTAGCATCCTAGTTCAGATCTTTGTTACCTTTCTCCTGGACTCTTGTATTAGCTAGAAAACATGCCATTTCTTTCTTTCTTTCTTTCTTTTTTAGGCAATTGGGGTTAAGTGACTTGCCTAGGGTCACACAGCTAGTAAGTGTCAAGTGTTTGGTCTGAGGCCAGATTTGAACTCAGGTCCTCCTGACTTCAGGCTGGTGCTCTGTCCACTGTGCCACCTAGCTGCCCCGAAAACATGTCATTTCTACCACTTCCCATCCAACCCTACATATTGCTGACATTATTCATCTTCCTAGTACATGGCTCTAATTGTGTTCACCTCTTCCTCCAAACCTTTTTAAAATGCCAATATTCTTTTAATGATGGCATATAGCTGTAAATCAAGAAATACAAAAATTAGAAAAACAGGTAAACCAGACGACAATGGAAAAATGCAAAGTGAAAGTAGGTACAGGCAGTTCTAATATAACATGATATCTGCAGTTCCCAAAAAGCACCCACTATGAAAAACTGCATAATAATTACATGGAAAATGGAATTAGGTATGCAGTTCTCAAAAACTTCAATGACCCATAAAAAAGAAGATAGGAATCTTATGAAAACTGTAGCACAATTGTATGCATGTTAAATGGTTAAGAGATAATAAAAACTACAATAAATAGTGAAGCAGTAGGTGTTGCAGAGTATACATAGCTGGGCCTGGAGTCAGGAACACCTGAGTTCAAATCTAGCTTTAGATACTAGCTGCATGACCCTGAGCAAGTCACTTAACCTGTTTGTCTTAATCTACTGGAGAAGGAAATGGCAAACCACTCCAGTGTCGTTGCCAAGAAATCCCCATTGACAATATGGTCCATGGGGTCATAAAGAGTTGGACACTAATGAACAGGTAAACATCATCAACAATGATAAATAGTAGTCAACTCTGCTGTTCCCTTGCACCCAAGGTTGTACCAACAGGGCTGAAAGTTCAGACCTAGGTAGGTGCTGGGGAGGGGGGGTGGGGAGAACCCTTAAGGGAAAGGAGGAAAGATGGATCAGTCTTTCTCTGCTCACAGCACCTACTATATCAGAAGCTATACAATAAATATGACACTTTACTTGACAAAGATCTAGAGTTTGCTTGTGGAAGTAGGTGTGGAAACGGTGGCAGCTTGTGAGTTATTGTAAAATGGTACAATTTTCTGCCTTTCCACTATTCCTCAAGAAAGCAAACTCAAAATTCAGCTATCCTCAAAATGTTCCCAAATATAATCAATCTTTGGGACAAATTCACGTTTTTGAAATACAGTATAGCAGAAATGACTTTATGCTATAGAATGCTCTCTCTCATGGAGAAATGGTATAAAAGACTTCATCAAGGATACCTGTGACTGACAGATGACAAAACTGAGGCAAACAGGGTTAAGTAACTTGCCTAGGGTCACTCAGTAAATGTCTGAGACCAGATTTGAACTCAGGAAGATGAATCTTCCTGACTTCAGGCCTGGCACTCTATCTACTATACCACCTAGTTGCCCCTGGAAAAGTGAATTAGGCCATCCCTATAATAACAAAGAGGAATAACAAAGGAAAGGTCTGCATGTTGCACTGTTCTACTCAAAATAGAGCCAGATGAAGGTCTCTATAGGTGAGTCGTCTATGGTGGATTTACAGAAAGACATGGATAAGAACATCACAGGATGAGAAGATGTAAATTGATCACAATATGCAAGGGTAGCAAGAATACCCACATTGATGAGATTATGCATTCCTCTGCATACTTGAATGTATTAAAAACTAATTTATTGTCTTTGTAGATGTGGTAGCATTTTCAAGGTTATATAGTCATGCCATCTGCAAATAATATTTTGACTTTTTACTACACAAAGTTAATTCTTATAATTTCCTTTTCCTATCTTAGTGCAGTTGCACTTGATTTACTGAAGTCTTGAAGTAAATACATAATGTGTATATACCACATTTTGGTTTGAAGGTCTCAATTCCCAGTGTTTTGTATGAGGAAGTGAAAGTGAAGCTAAGTAAGATGAAATTTGCTAAAACAGAGGAACTAGTCCAGCTACAAAAGAAGAAATTTATTCTGGAGGTCTCACAATTTGGGGCTTATTCATTTATTTTTATTCTGAATTTCACTTCACTCTATTTCACACCGGTCTTTCTGAAATCATCCCTTTTGTCATTTCTTATATCTCTATTATAGTCATATATCATAATTGCATTATGAAAACAGTTCATCCAACTGATGGACATCCCCCTTAATTTATAGAGTTTTTTGTTAATATATCAAAGGAGAACTGATAAAAATATTTTGTACATATCAGTCTTTTCCCTCCTTCTTTGATCTCTTTGGAGGATAGGTCCAGTACCTGTATTATCTGGTCAGAGCCATGCCCAGTTGAGTGACTTTTTTGTGCATGGTTCCAAATTGCTTTCAGAGACAACTGGACCAATTCACAGCTCCATTAACAATGCTTCATAGTCGTGCTTGAAACAAAAGGCATTTTTCTCTTCCCCTTCTCCTGACCAGGGGCTCAGGAGCTAGAAGAGAGACTATTACTGATCTTTTATACTTGATGATTTTTCTTTTTTTTTATGACTTTTCCAAATGAGGAAACAAACCACATGAACCCACCAATATCTCATGAACCCTTCCTCCCCCATCTCACACACTATCAAGTTTAGACAGCGGTGTTAGGGAAAAGAGATCTGCTAAGCATGAGGACTCCTTGGGCAAGTTCAGTCCCTCCATTAGTCTTTGACTCTTCATCTGGTGCTAAATAAGGAACAGAATAGAAGCATTGACTAAAGCGACAATTCTCAAAGTGTATTCTGGAGACCCTTGGGGATCCCTGAGACCCTTTCAGGAGATCTCTGAGATCCAAACTATTGTTATCATAACATTAGATATTTTAATTTCTAATATAGTATATATCAAATATAATCCACATAGTGGGGAGGGGTCCTCAATAATTTTCAAGAGTACAAAAGGGTCCTGAAACAAAAAAAATGTGAAAACTGCTGGAAAAGCAAAGTCTCAGTAGAAAGCCTAGTGAAGGAAGGAGTAGAGAAAGAATGGATCCATCTATACAAAGGCAAGGGCCATCCTAGAGGGTGTAGCTCCATTTCTGGTAACCTAGCCATTTAAACTCTAGACAACTGGCTGCCAAAACATTGTTCTTGGCTACCATATCTGTCTGCTTGGCAAAGAAACTGAGTGTTTGCTAGTAAAAGTGATTTCTGGGCTTTTTGGCCTCCTCACTGTGGTGATTGGCTTTCCTCAGCTAAACATTTGAAGGATATGAACAAGAGTTTCACAGGACAAGAGGGCATGGATGGGCTGCAAGTGGCATCACTGGAGAGAGTATTCCAATCAATGAGATGAGAGATCAGTCAAAATCTCTCATACTAACACTCTTTGCCTTTTTTTTTTTCATCATATATTTTCTCACTGTCAGTGGTTCATTTGAACAGGTCAAATTGAAGCATATGAAGTATCTTATCATTTTTTCTAATTTGATGTCACTTTTGACCTTTTCTCTAACTAGTTTCTGGTAAAGGTGCATACAAATAACTGATTCTGAAATGACTTCCACAGTCAATCCTGTTGGTTAAGATATAATCAATTTGTGTGTGTGTGTGTGTGTGTGTGTGTGTGTGTGTTTGTGTGTATGTGTATGATTTTGGTCAGTGTTCATCATGTCCAGTATTTTCTAGTTCTCTCCTTAAAATATTCATGACATATAGGCATGAGTCTTCTGAGTATTCTACAAGTCTTTGACCCCTTTCATTCCTGAAAACTGAAACATATTTATTTTTCAAAATGTTTTTTGTCCATCCCCTTCTGTCTACCTTTCATTAAAGTCATGGGAGACTGTCTGCAGTTGTCCTGATCTATGTCTGGCCACTGGACCCAGATGGCTCCAGAGGAGAGAGTGAGGCTGGTGACTTTGCCCAGCCCTGCCTCACTTAAATCCAATTCACTTGCAAGTCGTGACATCACCTTCCTGATGTCATGGTCCTCTTCAAGAACGAAAGACAAACAACAATAAAGTCACCAAGTATCAATATAGACATGTTTATCTTGTCATATTCTTTATAGAATTTCTCTTCCTCTTCCTCCTTTGCAGCAGATGCCTGTGCAGAAATTACTTTAAAATTCTTCCTTTTATATGCTTATCTTGAGTCTTGTAAGATGATATCACCATGTATCCTATGAAATTATGTTTCTTATTATATTTGGGTCTATGATGAGTGACTGAATAAAAAGGCAGTTATTGTGCTTACTATATGCCAGGCATTATGCTCAACCCTGGGAGCACAAATACCAAAAGCAAGACAGTCCTCACTCTCAAAGAGCTTCATTTTCATAGGGTAAGACAACATATATAGAGGAATGGTGGCCAAAAAGAGTTTGCTTTGGTCTGGGAAGACAAAGGGATGTTGAGTAGTATCATGGGACAATTGATTTCCAAGTCCTTTTTGAGGATGTTAATGTTAATTTGTTTACTATTCTCAGTGATAAAGGTGGAAAGCAAAGAGTAGAAGATAGAAGAGTAAATATTCTGTGGAATGGCATGAAGGTGACCAGGGCAGCATGGTAGGTCTGGTTGGGACTATATATAACAAGGATTCACCAATCAGAAGCCTAGAATTCCAGGATAGGAGTTAGTGTGCCAGATTGTGTTGGTGGAGGTTGGAGCATAGAATCATGTTGGTACGAAGAGGGCCATGGAGTAGCAGCATGGTAGGTTTAGATAAAAACAGCTCTACCAACTGCTTTGCTTACTTCTCTGAGGAGAACCCAAGAGCCATCTAGCAGCCACTTCCTTTGATTTCCTGATCTCATTTGTGGCAAAAATGCCAATATAGATATATTTTGCCTCTTGTAGAGGAGGTATGTCAATGCCTTGATTATTAGACAATGCCTTCACATTTATAGCTAATAAGATGATCTAAAAGTTGTTTGATTTTTAACATCTTTTCTCCAATTCTACCAACATCATCGTGAAAGCAAAAGGAAGCTGCATAGGACCAAGGACCATTAAAAGGGGGCTGTCTAAAGCAGGAAAGACCCTGATGTTGGGAAAGCTTGAAGGCAAAAGGAAAAGGGGATGGCAGAGGATGAGATGGATGGATAGTGTCATGGAAACAATGAACTTGAAGTTGGACAGACTTCTGGAGATCGTGGTAGAAGGACCTGGTGTACTATGGTACATGGGTCACGAAGAGTTGGACATGATTGAACAACTGAAAAAGAAGATATGAAGCAGGAAGATTAAAAAAAAAAGGAAATGCAGTTTTAGCAGTACACTGTAAGGTAGCAAAGAGTTGCAAACAAAGTAGATGCCTATTGACTTGCTGTTGTTCGTCATATCTGATTCTTCGTGACCCCATGGACCAACTGTCCATGAGGTTTCCTTGGCTAAGATAATGGAGCGGTTTGCCATTTCCTTCTCCAGTTTTAGGTAGTGACTTGCCCACATTAAGTGACTTGCTCAGGGTCACACAGTGACTAAGTGTCTGGGGTCATATTTGAACTCTGATCTTTCTGACTCCAGGCCTGGTGCTCTATCCACTGCACCACCTAGCTGCGCATCAACTGGGGAAAGGCTAAATAAATGGAATGTAATCAAATATTACTGTCATGTAAGGTATGAATATGAAGAATTCCTAAGAGGCATGGAAAGTAACATTTTAAACAAGAAATATTTTATTATTTTCAAATACCTACAGTAAGTAACTCAAAATATAAAATTCCCATGACCTCTGACCACCAGGGTCCCATAACCTCCAATTAGATATGTACCTGAGAAGGAAAGGCTCAGAAGGTGTTGTCAGGAATACAGCTGACATTGTCTTTGTGAGAGCAATTTGTCATCACAAAGTATTGTCTGTAACCAAGACTTCCAGTAATTCTCAGCAGATCAGCTGAGCTAAAAGTGGCTTCCCCAGGAACACACACCAGAGGAACAAAAACACACAAGCATAAGTCATTTAAGAATAATAGATTGCCAAAACTATGATGTTCCATCATGAAATCACATCTGAACTCACTTTCTCTCAACAGCAGTAGAATGAAGCAGTCTTATAAAACATTAGCCCAGATGTTATGCTTCAGCCTGCTTTTATTGGCTGCCCGCAAGCAGTCTCAAAGTGGAAGAGATGTAGCAGTACTCAGGACTGTTGGGAATAAGATCTGCTGCTTTATCTCCCCCACAGCTCAGTGGTGGAGGGTTCCTTATTGTAGTGCAAAGGAACCAAACACAATGTTAGGGGACTTTGTTTTAAATATAGATAAGAATCATTTATAATCAATTTCAATTGTATGTAAATAGTTCTTCTAAAGAGATTGAGGATGGGGCAGCTAGGTGGCACAGTGGATAGAGCACCACCCTGAAGACAGGAGGACCTGAGTTCAAATGTGGCCTCAGATACTTGACACTTAATAGCTGTGTGACCCTGTGTCACTTAACCCCATTGCCTAGCCAAAAAAAATTATAAAAAAATAAATTGAGGGTATATGAAAATAGACTGTTCTTATAAGTATTTTTATCATTTCCCTTTAATCTCTTTTACAGTTTTATTTTGCACTATGCTAATAATTTGTTAATCCAAGATAAATTTTAGATCAGACCCGGTTTAAGTCTCACAAATAATGAATTAGTAGAGCCTAATCCAACAATCCTTCTGAATTTATGTTTTATTGTACATCCCCAGCAATAACTGTCCCAAACCTCTTTTCTCTATCCTCAAACCCAGTTACAAACTCACACCCACATTTGTGGCTGATGGTGTGGCCTCCAACTGAGAATATATAGACCAGAGGTAGGGAACCTGTGGCCTAGAGGCCACCTGTGGCCCTCTAGGTCCTCAAGTGCAGCTCTTTGACTGAATCCAAACTTCGCAGAATAAATCCCCTTAATAAAAGGATTTGTTCTGTAAAACTTGGACTCAGTCAACAGATGTCACCCAAAGACCCAGAAGGTCACCCCTGAAATAAGGCATTTGATAAGAGCTCTTTCAATCTTTACTGCTGAAATTTCTGAATGTCATTACCAATTTCTTTTCCTACCTTTCTCAGAGGAAAAAGTATTTCTATGTTTTGCTAAGACTAATCCCTCTCCCTGGACATTTGATTCTTTTTTTCTCCTCCTTCCCCCTTCATGTCTTCAGTTTTTCCCTCTACACTGATTCCTTCCAATCTGCCTATAAACTCAGCCTCTTCCTGTCTCCTTAGTCCTCAAAGACATCTTCTATCAACCTTTCTACCATGTTTAACTTCTATTCCATCTCTTCCTTCCCTTCAGCATCAAACTTCTTGGAAAAGTCATCTCTGCCCAGAACTTCCCCTTCCTCACTTCCCACTCTTCCCAGCCCCTTGAAATCTAGCTTCTGTCTCCACCCCTCTACTAAACCTGTTCTCATAAAGGTCACCAATGACCTCATAATAACCAAATTCAATAGTCTTTTTCCCTAGTCTTTATTTTCCCTTATATCTCTGTGATATTTGATGCTGATACCCCTTCTATGATAATTCAAAAAGACCTAATATATTCAATACATAGGCCTCTCTGACATCCATAAGACTCATTTGCAGCAGGCTACCTCTACTAGAGATGTTGGAAATCCTTCCACTGCCTTACACCTTGGCCCTGTCATTTTCTGGAAATTTCCATACCATATGCCTGTACTTTCTCTATTTGATTCAGCCAGGCCTCCCCCAGAGATGGGAGACCAGCTAGACCCACCTGAGTAAGAAGTTGCCCCTTCCTTATAAAACTAGAAATGTTCAGCTACCCCATAAAGTTGCCCTGGTATGGAGTAATTGTGACCCCCACCATCCTTTATGCCAAATTGGAGAAATCTATAGAGAGCTCAATGGAACTTGGTGTGCCGAGTCTGAGGGTGGACCCTTCAAAGAACCATTTTAGACACAGGTGTTGTGAGGCTCAAAATGAAACAACAGATGGAAAGCATTTTGCAACCTTTAAAATGCTATGTAAAGTTCTGTTATTATTGTTGTTGTTACTGTTACCATTACCACTACTACCACTACTACTAGTAGTAGTATTACTACTACTACTACTACTACTACTACTACTACTACTACTACTACTACTACCACCACCACCACACTACTACTACTATCACTACTACTACTACTACTACTACTACTACTACTACTACTACTACTACTACTACTACTACTACTACTACTACTACTATTAGCATATCTGGGGATGATGACTTCATTCCTTTAGCCTTCTACTGTACTCCTGCCAAGCTCAAGCAGTTTTTATAGGGCAATACAGGACTGTGCTGATAAATGTTTAACAACAGGGCTGGGGTAGGGAAATGTTTACACACATACTTTTTTAAGTTTATTCTGCATTATTAACACTTTCTTAAGACTAGAAAATCAACAAAACAAAAAAGCAAGACCTAGTTGTAGTTGCAGATTTCTGAGGCATAAATGCTCACACTGAAAATTTAAGCAATCAGCTCTTTCAAGGTTATCACTGGCTCCCCAAACACCATTAATTGTAAATCGACTTCCTGCACTTCCTTCTATTGCCAGCCTGAGGATCAGCTAAGATCCCTATGCCTTATCTAATTGTATCTTTCTCTTTAATCAATAAATCAATCACTAAACATTTATTAAGTGCCTACTATGTGCCAGGCACTGTGCTAAGTCCTTGAGATAAAAAAGAGGCAAAATCAGTCCCTGCCCTCAAGGAACTTAAAATCTAATGGGAGAGACAACATGCACACAGAGCAAGCTATATACAGGATAAATAGGAAATAATTAATAGAACGAAGGCACAGGAATTAAGAGGGTTTGGGAAGGCTTCCTGTAGAAGGTGGGATTTTAGTTGGAACGTAAAGGAAGCCAGGGAGGTCTGGAGTCAGAGCAGAGGTGGGAAGAGTGTTCTAGGCATGGGGGACAGCCAGAGAGAATGCCTGGAGACAAGAGATGGAGTGTCTTGTTTGTGAGACAGCCAAGAGGCCACTATGCCTGGATCAAAGAGTAGGTGTGAGGAGTGAGGAGTGAGAAGACTGGGAAGGTAGGAAGAGCTAGGTTAGGAATGTCAAATAGAACATTTTTCATTTGATCCTGGAGGCACTGAACAGCCACTTTGCATTTATTGAGCAGGGGAGGGAAGAGTGACTTGATTGGACCTGCGCTTTAAGAAAATCATTTTACTGGTTACATGAAAGATGAATTGGAGTAGGGCGACAAGGCAGACAGACCCATCAGTGACTATTGCAGTAATCCAGGTATGAAGTAATGAGGGCTGGCACTATAGTGGTAAAGGATAGAAGGGGGCCCATAGTAACAGAGATGTGGCCAAGGTGAAATCGACAAGCTTTGGCAACAGATTTTTTTTACCTGTTTCATCTTTATCCTGTCTCCTCTTGGTGTTTTGCCTTAGGCTTGGAGTCTTATAGGATTTAAAATTCATAAAATAAAGAGTTCTAGGCTCTGTAGGAGCTGTGCTTAGAAGAGACCGGGGCTTTGCCCCAAGACAGAGAATTGCCAGAGGCAAGTGACAAGCCAGGGCATTCCTCTAAGGAATTAAGGGGATTGTAAGGAGATTGCGCAGGGAGATGGGGCGATGGTGGAGTATGGCAGATCTCCAGCAATAATACGATGTGAACAGGAGGCAGCAGCAGCATTTCCTCCTTCTAGGGGAGCAGCTTGAGTCAGAAGCTGGTGGGAACCCAGCTCCTTTCCACTCCTTGGTTCCTGAGTCCAGGAGCCCTGTGGTTGTACAAGAAGACAAAAGAGAAAAACACCCCAATAAAAGAAAAAATAGTCATCACAAAATAACTGCTCTCCAATTTAGGTGTTTAAAAAAAAATTAGGTATACTAATTCATATAAGGTCCAAAAGAATTTGACAGTAATGAGATATTTAAATGGCTTTCAAGGCAATGTGATGGACATAGTGGCATGAAGGCAGGACTCAAATTCAGAGGCTCTGCAAATAAAGCCTGGTTCTACCACTAACTAGAGCAGCTAGATGGTGCAGTGGATAGCATGCCAGGCCTGGAGTCAGAAGACTCATCTTCCTAAATTCTAATCTGGCCTGAGACACCTACAAGCTGTGTGACCCTGGGAAAGTCACTTAACCCTGCTTGCCTCAGTTTCCTCTTCTGTAAAATGAGCTGGAAAAGGAAATGGCAAACCAGTATCTTTGCCAAGAAAACCCCAAAGAGTAGGACACAACTGAAAAACAACTAAACAATAATCACTACCTCTTGTGAACGGACAAGACACTTGTCCATTTATTTACTTAATGTGTAAAGTATAAAAATGTCTTTTCCAGGCATAATATTCTACAAAGCCCCTGTGCATGGCCTGCCCTGGAAGCCAAGTGAAGACTTCAAAAGGACAAAGAATTTGAGGGAACCATGACTTTCTGGATGTGTCTCTACCTCCCCCATCCCCAAAACTTCTTTGCTTGAAAATTATTCTCTCCTAGGCTACTGAAATTCTCCCGGGGCTAGAGAGTGAACTTGGGGCTAGGACATGGTGGCAATGTTTGATAACTGGCTCTATTAAAAGCTTGACACAATTTTAAGTTTAATCTGCATCTCTAATGTTTTCTCCAGATCTTTCTTAATTAACAAAATTGACAAAATCAAACCCTGATTTCTGAAGAATAAATAAATGCTCATACTGAAAATTTAACAACCAACTCTCCCAAACCGGTAGGAGCTGGCTTCCAGGGACATTCTTGGAAGGATCTAAGGGCCTCCTTCCCAGAAGATGCTTGTCTTGAGTTGAGACAAGACAATGGACCTCATACTCTGAAAGGGAAGCCAAATTTTAACAACCTGGCTGAGAAAGCACTGAACTGATCATGTTATGAGGACTAGGTTCTACTCTCTGCTCTGACACTAACTCTGGGCCTCAGTTTCCTCCTCTGTAAAATAAAGAGGTTGAACAAGGCAGCATCTCTCTCACAGCCTGTGAGTCTTGTGAGATTTGAGAATCATTTTGCTCTACCTCAGCCCACCCTCAATTTCAGTGACAGCTGAACAAACCTTCCTGTGTGATGTTGGGTAAGTAAATCACTCTCCCTCTCTGGGACCTCATTACATAGTAGCTCCCTCCAGGGACTCCTATGGAACATCAAGGATGGTGCCTAAGACCCTTCCAGTTCTAAAATGATATTTTGAGGGTTGGAAATGGATGGCTTCAAGCCACTTCAAAAAAAAAAAAGCAATTAGATTGTGAGTTCCTCAAAAGCAGGGACTGGCCTTTTTTTTTTTGGCCTTTCTTTGTGTCCTCAGTGCTTAGCACAATGCCTGGTACACAGCAGGCACTTAATAAATGCTTGTTGACTTGATTTGACTTGACCTAATCTACCTCCGGCCTCCAGGAATCTTCTTGGATTCCAAATATGAAATAACTAGGTGCTAAATTCAGTTTAAATAGGAAGCTACCTAATTAGACCCTCTTCCTTTGGGTGAGCTGCCTCCCTAGCAGTGACCTTGTGATATGTTCTGATGTCTGTCTCTCCCCTCTATAGTGTGATGTTTATTCTCCCTACCCCTAACTAATTCTGCCTTTCATTCTGTTTGCCCCCCTAATAACTGTGTTGCTTGCTCCAGCGTGAAAATTCCTAGTTATGGCTCTGAGCTTTGTGCACTTCTGGTCCATCTGTTTGCTTTGTAGAAACTCCTTCTGAATCAGACCAGCACACCCTCCTATTAAATAATGCTCTCTTTTCCCTTGATTTCAGAGACACCAGTTTCTGCTTCTCCAATAGCTCCTTCAGGCTCCTTCCCTGGGTCATCATTCTTTTCCTTATTCCTTAAGGTAGGTGTTCCTCAAGGTTTTGTCCTCTGCCCTGCCCTCTTCTCTCTTTCTTTATACTCTTTCCCTCAGCAATCCCATTAGGGTAATTCACTCCCTCAGATGCATTCATCTCCTCTCGCAGATGATAACTATCAAATCTGTCTCTCCTGCCTTAGCCTCTCCCGAATTCCATTCCCACACATCCCCAACTCATTCTTATAAGTACATCTCCACTCTGATATCCCACCATTACCTCAAATTAAAGGTGTCAAAAACACAGTTATTATTCCTTACCACCCCCCCCAATAGCTAGCTTGACTTCACTATTTTTGTCAGTAACCCCATCTCTGATTAAAAAAAAAAAAGCAGCTCAGTCTTATCCTTGGGTCCTCTTTCCTATCTCACCCTCTATAGCCAATCTTTTATCAAGTCCTACCAAGTCCATTTTTGTAAAGCTCTCAAATCATCCTTTTCTCTCCATTTCCACTTCTATCAACTCTAGCAGTGGGACAGCTAGGTGGGGCAGTGGATGGAGCACCAGCCCTGAAATCGGGAGGATCTGAGTTCAAATCAGACACTTACTACTATATGACCCTGGGCAAGTCACTTAACCCCGATTGCCTCCCTCTCTCCCACCCCCTCCCCCACCCCCCAAAAAAAAACTCTAGTAGGAAGGAGCCTGGTATCAGAGGATAGAATCAGAGGACCTGAGCTCAAATTCCATCTCCGATGTTTAAAATATATATGAACTTGGGCAAATCATTTCATTTCCATTAGCCCCAGAGTTTGCTTATCTGTAAAATGAGGGGGTTGGGCTAGATGACCTTTAAGGATCCTTCTAATTACACAGTTTAATGATCATACTTTGGAGTCTCATTACTACTGTGGAAGTATATATATTATTATTTTTTTAATGATAAGAGTGAAATTCTCACATTCACTTGAAAGTCTAATCAATTGCTCTTGAATAGAAGACTTAAGCCTTTTCAGGGAGGGATTTAAATTCCCTGGGACTAGATATTTAGAGCAAATTTTGGGGACCACACTCAAAGCAGACTGTCTTTTTGTTAATCCAATCAAGAGAGATATCCTTTTGTTTACCATTGACCAGAGTGAAAGGGGAGTCTTAGAGGAAGTAGTTGGTTTCTGGCAGGTAATTTCCCCAAGGGTGCATCCACATTTCTAAGTTCTTTTTGCTAAGCTTCAACAATTTATCTTTATTTCACTTTGCTGTGAAATTTCATCTTTTGTTTCATGATTACTAGGAAAGGTAAATTGGAAGTTAATTGGGTCAGAAGGTATTCTGAATAATTAGACTTTTTTCGAAGGAGAAATTCATCCATATGAACATGTTGCCTTTAACAGATTTTGACCAAAACAGCAGAGTATAGGTTTTCCTCCACACTACAATTGAATTACCTTCCTGATCTAACCTCTACTCTACCAGACTTTTCTTCTTCTTTACATATAAATATGATCAAGTAACTCCACTCCCTAAAACCTTTCAGTGACTCTCTATTACCTAAGAAATACATTTCAAATTCCTTAGCTTAACATTTGATGCCCTTCACAATCTGTCCCCATCTACTTTTCTGGCCTTTCTCAGACACATAGTCTCCCGCATATAGTCTAAGTTCCAGCCAAATTGTACTACTCATTAATCTCCTGTGCAAATTCTACATTTTCCTGCCCATCCCTTTGCTTGGTCCACCACCACCCCCACTCCACCAGACACACAAACATACACACACACACACACACACACACACACACACACACACACTCACCTCAACCCAACCTTTTAACCCAACTCAATTGTCACTTTCTCCAGGAAGCCTGCCTTGACCCCTCTCTGTCAGTAATGTTCTTAAATCTCATATAACGCTTTTTGTGCCCTTCTCTTAAGTATTTATGATGTTATTGTTTTGAACTACAGTTGTTTTTATACTGTGCCAGGTCCTTCTACTAGACAATAAGTAAGTCCCCACAAAGCAGAGGTTGTTAAATCTTAACTAAATCTTAAATCTTCTCATGCATACAGCTCTTTTTGTGCAAATGTAGAATCACATATTTAAAGATGGAAGAAACTTAGAGGCAATGCAATCCAAAATCCTCATTTTCAAGATGAGGAAACTGAGATACAGTGAGGTTAGCTACTTACCCAGGGTCACACAGTTAATACAGGTGTCTCGGGTGGCATTTGAACTCTACGTCTTCATGACTCCAAATCCAACATTCACTACTCTGTTCATTAAATAGGCACCTAATAGATGTTTGCTTAATTGAGTTAATTGTAAGTGATTTAAATTCTTTATCAGCACCTTCTCTTTCAGGAAAGACAGCACAGTACTGTGGTAGACTGAACAGAGCACTATCTGAGTCAGAAAACCTGGGTTCAAATCTTTCCTCTGATATACATATGACCCAAGGCAAATTACTTAACCCCTCTAAGATTTCCTGAGATCTGGAAAATGAGAAGTTTGAAGAACTCTAAAAACCTTTCCAGGTTTAGGTTTATCTATTTGATCCTATTTCCCAGCAAGAATAAAATTGATTTAAGCCTGACCAAGAGCATACTCTTATGGAGAGTCTGTAGTTTGAAAATAGACACCTGTGCTTACCACCTGATTCCAGATTCAGGCCTGCAGTTATAGTTAAAACTCCCTGTGCCATATTTACTACATCTTTTTAAGAAAGTTTTTGATTGGCCAGGGAAGGGCATCATAATCTCTAAATGAGATACAGGAAGAGTGATTATGACACATGGTACTCAACCTCCAATCAGAGGGAGGGGCACAAGCATGTTGATATGGGGCAACCCTATAAATACAGCAGGTCACACTTCCAGACCCTTAAAACCTTTTTGATACCAGGAAGAGACATGAGTCTGTGGCATTAGCTCAGTACTGAAATCCATCTACAATGGCTAAAGCAGTGAAATCCAGTGAAATCGGAAAATCTTGTGCATGCCAAGAGAAAAAGAGGAAACCATCCCAGAAAATCTGCTTTAACAGAAACTACACCCTCTACACTCACAGAGTGCTAAAAGAGGTAGTCCCCAACCAAGGTTTGTCATCCAAAACTGCTGACATCATGAACTGCATGATCAATAATGTCCTTGAACGAATTGCTGAAGAGGCCTGCAACCTCCTGTGTTACAAAGGACATTTAACCCTTAGCCACCAGGATATCCAGATGGCCGTTTACAGGCTACTGCCAAATGAGCTGGCCAAGCATGCTGTGGCTTTTGGTACAAGAGCTGTTACAAGTTACAATGACTCCAGATCTTCTGTCAACTTGTGACAAACCAGATTCAGGTGAAGCAGATAAGTCTTTTTATTGGTATGTGTTTCTTTAGAGCGGAGACTTTTCAGCCCCTAAAATGTTCCATATTCTGTATTTGGTATTCTGAGTGACAGGCAGCCTGATGTGTGTATGTATATATAGTTCTATATGGTCTCTATATAACTATATAATAAGTTTATTTGCCTTATCTAAATATTTTTATAGAAATATATTTTGCAGGATAAATCAAGTTAGTTACTGTACAAAATAAAAAACTACCTCCCCAAAAGAAAAGCACTTCAGATTAAAGAAAAATTATTTACCAATACAAGTATTTCGGAATGAGTTTGAGTTGAAAAAGTTTCCCTTTTAATTTTTAATATACATTATCATGAATACAAAACCTTTATATTAATACATCTCTTTTACATTAGGGATGTATCATTTCATTAATTCTACAGTATCACAGCATATACATTCTGGACCAATAAAAGAAGGTATATAATCCTATTTTTAGAGAAATTGTTCAATGGCACCTCTATAAGTATAAAAGTCATTTGTTGTTCAGTTCAACATGCTAAAAATATATATGTACTAAATTGTACTAAATCAAAACTTTATACTAATTGAGAAATAAATTATTTGGGGAGGTGATTTTATATATATATCAGATAAATAAATCATGTAGTTATATATATGCTATTTAGAAATATATATTACATGTGTAGCTATACATGTATAATGTATATGTATGTACATACACACATACATGCACATATATGGATATAGTATAGGACCTCCCAATCTTTTTGTAATTAAGGACTTGATTTTTACCTTCAAATTTTCAAAATTGTTCATTCATACAACAAAACAACAATACACCATGAGTACAAGGCTATTACCAGTAGCAGCTATGCTGATATTTCAAGGGAGTTTGAAAGAGCGGATGACGATATCAAGAAACATATACAGTAATTTTCTCAGAGTCATTTTAAGAAAAAGTACATTTTGTAAACCTTTATGTAACCGAATTTATTCATTCATTTTTAAATTTTTTAACTAACAAGCATGTATCATCTCCCTCTCATCTCCCCCCACTGAAAAAGAAAGAAAATACATTTTCATTTCTTATGATTCCATTTCTCTCTTGGTTTTTCCAAAGCATTAACTGTATAGCATCTGCCTCCCATTTTAATCTTTTTTATAGAAATACATTTTTGCTAGATGGTCAAGCCAAGTTACAGATACTATACAGAAGTTAAGATCAGCAACCCCCCCCCACAAGAAAATCGCTTCACAGTAAAGAAAAATTATTTGCCAATACAAGTATTTTGGAATGAGTTTGAGTTGAAAAAGTTTCCCTTTTAATTTTTAATATACATTATCATGAAGATAAAACCTTTATATTAATACATCTCTTTTACATTAGGGATGTATCATTTCATTAATACTATAGTATCACAGCATATACATTCTGGACCAATAAAGGAAGCTATCTAATCTTATTTTTAGATAAATTGTTCAATGGCACCTATAGAAGATTATTTAAATGTATATTGCTAAATTGTACTAAACTTTATGCCAATAGAGAAATTATTTTAGGAGGTAATATATGTAGACCTAACAGATAAATAACACATAGGACAAAGGGATCAATTGTGTACTGTCAAGCAATCCAGAAGAAGCATGTATATACAAGCCCTCACGGCACAAGCTTTTGTTTGACTTTAAAAGCACATTTTGTGATTGTGACATATTTACATATTGTTTTTGTTGTTGTTGTTGTTTTTGACATACCATACCAGAAATATAAGCAAAATACGCATTGATATTCAAAGGCACAGGTAGAAAAAGTCAGTTTTCATCTTAAGAGCCAAATAAAGTGAGGAGAATTTTAATGATTATTAAAATTATCTGAGACTGGTTGGGAAAGGGAGGGAGGGGGAGAAAAAAGGGGAAAGGGGCATAGGGGTATAGTGTATAGCGTCTGAAAGACTTCAACACCATCAACAGGTTGGATGCTGCTGCTGGTTTTAATACAGATTTTCAAAGAAGAGAGCCTATCACCAAAGCATGTATCTGCTTTGGAAAAGAACAAGAAGAAATCCTAAGATTCCCCCATCTTCATGCCCGAAATGTTGTTTTCAAGCAAAGACCAAAAAGCCATCAGGAAAAAAATTCTCCATCAAAGTCTGTATTTGAAAATGCTTAGCATTGTTTATAATTTTGAGCAGCCTGAGCCTTAAAAAAATCTCATGGAAAGAATCACAGATGAGCATCTTGTGTTTGTGATGTTTATATATAAGATGGATAATACCCGGGTTTTTTAAAGTTGGGAATGGCATTTAAAATTCTAATTATCTGACACTATTTCAAATGTTCTTACTAGACTGCAAAGGGGTGGGGGGAGTGGAGGATAAGTAAGTACCCTTCTCCTCATATCCATAAGATAAGCTTGGCTGTCCCTTCTGTAAACATACCCCCGCTCCATCCTTTCTCTCTCATTCCCCTGGCACCGTGAAAAGTAAATGGATAAGGAGTCAAGAACTGTAGAGTTCTTGTTTCTTATTCAAATCTTACAAAATTTGTTAGTGATCCTCAACCAATCACTGTTCCTCCTCTGGGCTTCTCAGTTTGTATCATCTATAAAAGCACGGGGCTTAGAATCAGGAAGACACATGTCCATGAGTTCAAATCCACCCTCAAACACTGACTCACTGTGTGACCTTGGGCAAATCATTTAACCCTGTTTACCTCAGTTCCTCATCTGTAAAATGAGCTAGAAAAGGAAATGGCAAACATTATTCCCGTATCTTTGCCAAGAAAACCCCAAGTGGGGCCATTGAAGAATCAGATACTACTGAATAAAGACAATACTTGCAAGAGCTGCAGCTAGGTGGCACAGTGGATAGAGTGCCAGGCCTAGAGTCAGGAAGACTCATCTTCAAGTTCAAATCAGACTTCAGACACTTAAACTTAGTATAGCGTGACCCTAGACAGGACTTAAACCTGATTTGCCTGCCTCAGTTCTTCATCTGTAAAATGAGCTGGAGAAGGAAATGGCAAACCACCCCAGCGTCTTTGCCAAGAAAACCCCAAATGGGGCATGAAAAGTAAGACACAACTGAAATGACTGAACAACAAAATCATCTATAAAATGGCAGTATTTCTAAAATCCCTATCCATCATAGAGAAAAAAAATATTAAGTTAGAAAGGAAAACAACATGAATCACAGGGAACACTATGTTTAATAAATTTTAAATTAAAGGGTAGATTTTGGAAGACATAAAAAGGAGAAACTTCTTTTGGTTTGTAAGCAGGGTTAAAAGAAAAGGAGTTTTCTATTTAGAGCTATTTTAAGAATCCATTATTAAGTTATTTAGAACCTAATTGGATTTCAGTTGAATCATGAATGCAAAAGAACGGAAAGCTAAGGCAATTGAATAAGAAATGGACTGGAATGCGTTTGATAAATTTTGTACAGTGTTTTTAATGATACTAGAATTTTTAAAGATTTCTTAAGAACTCTTACATATTAGCAGAATTAATGCTACTTAACTTTTTAACGACATAAATACCCAAGAACTGATCAATTAAAATATGATAAACTAGTGAAAAACCAACCTTCAAAAAAATTCCCTCTAAAATTTTAATAAATTTTTTTTAAAAAAAATTTCCCTTAAGAGGAAGAAAACAACCTTTTATTAATGCCTAACCAGCACTGTGCCTAAACTTAAATAACTTTACCAATATTATTATCCCATTTGATAATTACTCACAACTTGTGAGATAAGGTGCTATCATTATGCCCAGTTTATACTTAAGAAAACTGATGGTGCACAGTGACTTCCCAAGATTAGTAGTATGCCTGAGACTGGCTTTGAACTCAAGTCTTCCTGACTCCAAGCCCCAGTGTTCTGGGGTCCCTGCCCCACTTAGCTCAATTTCTCATTTCCTTTTTGTTGTTCAGTCGTTTCAGTCATGTTTGATTCTTCATGACCCTATTTGGGTTTTCATGTCAAAGATGTTGGAGTGGTTTGACTTTTCCTTCTCTGGATCATTTTACAGATGTGAAACTGAGGAAAACAGGGTGAAGTGACTTGCACAGGGTCATACAGCTAGTAAATTTCTGAGGCCAGATGAGTCTTCCTGACTCCAGGCCCAGTGTTCTATCCACTGCCACCCTTATCTATAAAATACTCCAATGCTCTCTCCTGGGCCTTCTTCTCTTACTTGGTGAGACCCAAACACTCCTCATTGGTTCCCATGTGTTAATTATTTCCTCTATTCAGATGACTCCTAAACATATACATACATACACACACACACACACATATATATATATATACACATACACACACATATACATATACATATACATGATATATACCATGCATATGTATATTTTTGTATATGTATGTGTGTATTTATAGACCCAACTAAGTTTATCAGACATCTCAAACTCAACACATACAAAATAATTTTGTTATCTTTGTCCCCAGACCCATCTCCTCTACTAAATTCCCTATCCTGTTGAAAGCAGCCTCTTACAAGTAAATCTAAATTCATAACCCATGGTGTAACCTCAACTTCTCATTCTACTCCCCGATCACTTCAGCAACCCCGTGCTTTTTAGTATTCATACAATGTGACAAGTAGCAATTCAGTCCCCTAGCTTTCCTCTGGATTTCCACAAGTCTCTAATCTCCCCATTCCACGCTCTCCCCACATCTGTACTAAGACACTAACTAAGGAAAATAATGGTATTCCTTAGAGTTCAGGTCTGACTAATGTCATCCCCCTTACTCTTAAGACAGGATCCTAGTGACCTCTGGCATAAAAAAGCCCTTTACAAATTGAATCCAACCCTATTTTTTCCAGCCTAAGAAGTATTATCCTCCACTCATTTCTACAGCAAACTAAAATATGTCATCCCTGCACTTTGTTTCACAACGCTTAACTAAGAATGCATTTTTTCCTTACCTTTACCTCTTAGAATTCCTGCACTTCACATACTCAAAACTCAAACATTATTAAGATTAAACTTCTCTTTGATACCTCACAAAAGCTAGATCTCCTGACGCAGTTTCATTTTTTTTCTTTTGTCTTTTTAGAAGGGAAGGAAAGAAATAAGTATTTATATAAGTACCTACTATGTGCCAGGCACTGTGCTAATTATAGTTTGCTTTTTACAAATATCTCACTTCATCCTTACAGCAACTCCATTAGGTGCTATTATCCCCATTTTACAATTGAGGCAAATGAGATTAAGTGATGACTTGCTCAGGTATGGTACTAGTAAAAGTGTCTAAGGTCACATTTGAATCTCAGGTCTTTTGACACCAGCCCCAGAACTCTATCCACTGCTCTACCAGTGTGTGTCCTGCAAACAAAGTTAAACTTTGTGTTATAAGATTGTTTGAAAACAATAAATTCAGGCTATACAAAGAACTGACCAGCAGCTGGAATTCATAGGCTCAACACCGCCTCAGCACCCAAATGTCCTCCACTCCAAGTGACATATGCTATTTTTATACGAATTTGTCGATGCAAAAGCGGAGTTTTTGCAGAGAGAAGGGAGGTCTGAGAAGAGGAAGGCAAATTCACACACATACACTTTCTAAGGTGAGATCTGAAATCACATCTGAAGAACTAAAATTTTAAAAGCTGGAGAATCAGGAGTCAGATGCAGCCCAATCAGAGTAGAGAAGTATATCCTGCTTTCTGAACAAATCCCACATTCTGCCTCAGATTGAATGAGCATTTTTTTCTGTGTCACTGTTGGTTTCACATTGAGCAAACATTGTTTTCAAACAAATTGCTATGTAGCTCTACACGTCCCCCAGGATTCTAGAATCCTGTTGGAGATTCTTTTCTGTTATTCAAAGTTAGCTATACACTGTTTCTCCCAGCTTTGTGACATCTGCAAATTTGATAAATGTACAGCTATGTTTTTTTAAGCCATTAAAATTATTTTATTATGAAATAGAAATTACCAATGAACATGACCAGACAATGGGAATTATACATGAAACCATGGATCATTCCTTTATTATAATAATTCACTAAATTTAATGTGATAGTCCCAATATTGCCCCCAATGTCTATATATGTGTCCCTGTAAAAAAAAAAAACAAAATAAAACAAAACCCTTTGGGTCTTCTCAGGCTCTTCTGTGTGTGTTTTTAAAAGTTTAATATAATACTTAAAAGCTTTTTAAATGTCAAAAAAGTATTCCCATAGACACAGAAAAACATAAAAATAGGATTCTATATGAAGCCATGAATCTCCATTTCACATTGCTTGCCTTTAAAAAAAAATAATTTGTTTGTCTGCTTCCTTCTATTTTCTTCTGTGCATTTAGAAAAATGTTACAACAGCCTGCTTTTTTTAATATTATTTTCCCCATTAAAAAAAATAATAAAGTTAGTGGTTGGTTGTCTTCAGCCAAGGCCCTGCAAAAGAAAGTGTCTATCCTCTAGCCCTAACCTTTCAGACAATTGTTTGAATTTGAGAGCGCCATTAGGCTCTGAGAGAAGTTCCACTAACAACCATAGATAGTAGTAGCAGTGGCCCCAGAGAAGCAGTGGCCAATGGCAACTAATCTGTATCATGATGGAGTTGAGAACACAACAAAGAACAAACTAGACACTGAAAAAGGAAGCTTCAGGACTAAACAAAGGGGTAAACCAAGCCCAGAAGAGAGCCACATCACGAAGACTCTGGGAGAGAAAAGGTTTCTCCAAACAAACAGGATGCTCACAATGCCCTGGCAGGTATGTGAGCACTTAATTGGAAGGTAAGGAAATAAATACCATTACTCAGGCCAAGAGTCAAGTCCAGCATTCAAGCATCCCCTGGGGTGTACCTGAACAACCCACAACCTAAACCATAGCAGGAGAAAGCCAGGGAAGTACTTAGAAGATGCAAATAAAGTATCTGAGATTTCAAAGGAAGACTGCTATCAAAAGAAACATCTGTTTGGGTCATGTCAGGATCACAGCAAGCTACTGAGCCAACTAGGTTTGGCATCAGGCAAGTAAGAGGAAATCGAAAAGAGGCCAAAGTCACAACCTAACTCCAGGCACCAGGGAACACTAAGCCAAAACTCAGGAATTTCTGCTGAATGTAACTTTAGTCTTAAGCAACACACTTATGAGGTCAAGAAGGCCTGACCAGCACCATCAAAGAAAATAGGAAATAAAAAGATTGGAGTCTTAAGCGAGCAAAAAACCCTTATCCAGAAACTTGGATGCTAAAGATATGTAC